TAGTTTTGACGCATGTGTGAGCTCACCTTGCTTGTGACTTCCTGCTCATCCTCACTGGAATCATGGGTGTCGTCTACTGCGGCAAATGGTGTTAAAGAGCACAGTGTGGATTCCCACGGGAAGCCAAAAGCCACCTGCAGCCGTTCTGGTTCCTTTGCCTCCTGCTTACCCTAAACAATCAGACGACAACTGTTACACATCAGAGAAGCAGCTGTACACCCATATTAAAATATAAAATCAATCGAATTGATCTGAAAAGAGAAGATGTGTCACCTTTACTTGGTCTTGATTTTTACGCAACGGCATTACTTCCTCCTCTCTGCAGAACACTTCTACACCACTGTCATTATCCTCTGTTTTCGTTTTCTTTTTTATCGTTTTCTTCTTTTCTGTGGATTTGCCCTTTACTGGGCCTTCTTTTTTCTTTTTAATCATCTGTCCATTTTTCTCATCGTCTTGTTGCTAGAAGGATTAAACACAAGGTCAAATCCATCCTCTTCGAAACTATCAGTTAAACACAAACACACACACACACTTACCTGGCTCTCAGAATTAACCCGCTTCCTCTTGATGGCTTTCTTGTCACGTTCTTGCTTCTGCTCTTCTGTCAAACGCAATGGAAGCTCAAGGGATTCTGGGAGCAGATCTGGTTTGCCAGTGTCCTTTGACAGCAGTGACAGGTTCACATGCTCTTTCTTGGCGTTCACACTGATTTAGAAGCAACTGTCTTTAGTCATATAGCACTACAAATAGATACATTTAAATGTATTATTAATAGCTGGTCATTTTACACATGTAGACATACATTACCTGAGAACCTTGGCTGTCAGCAATGCATTCATGGAAATGTGTTCGGAAAACATTTTTTGGTTGTTCACAAAGTATTTTGTAGCATTCTGGAAAAGAACTCTTCCTGAGATGGTCCTTGATAACCTTCATACAAGAAAAATCATTTTAATTCAACTCATGAGGCTAAAATGGTTTCTTTAAAAATGTGTAGCAAAATCAACATACTTTACCTCACAAATATGCCTAGATCAGTAACAGACATCAAATATCCCCTGATAATCTGGCCCTCTTTTATATCGGAAATTGACTGAATGTCTGGATCTTCTTGAAGATTCTTATTGTGGTCCTTATACAATCTGCAGAAAGTGGAGACATTTGAGTTTAAAATACATAAAATGGAAAATTAAAATTACTTGCAAAAATGAAAAATTGAATAAAAAACTAAATAATAATAATGAAAAAAATTATATAAAAAAAAAGAAAAAGGCAGATTTTTTTGGGACAATACAATGAGACTAGGGATGCACGATATATCGGCCACCATATCGGTATCGG